ATTTAGACAAGGTAAGGTTACATGCTCCATATAGGCATCCCTTTAATATGCTCGGTTTCACTGCCCTCCTGCCTGACCATATGACCAGGCCATCGGGCACTGCCCATGAGTCATTAAAAACCCAAACATAAGGGCTTTTACCACAATTCAATTCTTTCATCACTGCTAGGGAAATAGCATGCAATTCAGCACACCAGGCTGATTGATCTGTTTTTATCATCTTTGATCAGAGTGGTGGCTTTCCAAACAATATGTTGTCCATTCATTATGGAATTGCTGTCCACAAAGCAAGCAGTGCGTTGTTGGTCAGTTGAGATCTGTTTATAGGGACTGTCTGAGCAGCTCCTCATGCGGTTCCAGAGTCAGTCCTAGAGGAAAAGAGGCTCCCTGCACATGATTTTCTCCTTGCATTCCTCAGGGAGCACAATCCTGTATAAACCATTTCTATTTTATTATGGAATGTTTCTGACACTGCCATCCCCATTAGAGTGTTTCTTGGATATCACCGAAGACGTGAGTATTTTAAGTTTCAAGATCATGTTACACTCTTCAGTCACAGGAATAGCTTCAATAAATAACAGAGCAAGGTAGTAACTGCCCCTCAAATGGAAGTTCTCTCCACAGTCCCAGTAGTTGTCGATCTGAGGTGAACACAGGCTCTTGCCATAATCCCCACTCCACATAAGGCTACCACACAGAAAATGTGTCCCAAATTTGTACCAGCACTCCAGCTTCCATTCCATGTGGGCTAAGACAATCTTACTGATTCCCATTTAGCATGACCAACGTTGCTTGAAGGGTGGATTTACATGCCTTCTGTTTTACAGTACTAGGTGGGGGAAAACATTCATCCCCAAAATACAATCAGGTAATAATAGAGATGCAACCTTTTCATATAAAGCCTGTTCAAACGCATCAATTCTCCTACTAACTTTTACTGTAATTCCAACAACTCTTATATAACTGTAGCCTCCATTAGGACTTCATCAACAGATGTTGGTTTTACAATACTAGGTAGGGGAAGTGCGAAGGAGAGACTGTTCCATGACGTGACCGCTGCCAGACCCGCAAGATGGACCTGAGCCGGAAGAGAGCGACTGCTTACCTACCCTGCCTCCCACTGTGTGCTGGTTCTTAGAACAGGCTGCTGTCCTGAGCCTGGTAAAGCATGAGATTTCCTCTACCTGGTAGCATTTATGTACGACTGCCTGTGACTATCCCCGCCCCCCACCCCCACCCACACACACACTTTTTACCCTATATAATTCTTTGGCATCTGCCAAGTGGGTACAGAGATCCATTTCGTCTTGCAGCCACCCAAGACATGCCTCATGTAATTTTCCCTTAATAAACTCTATTAATTAGCAGACTGGAGTGGCCAGCCTGTTTCTTCAGTCTTTCCCTTCCCTCTACTATGTGCTAGAGTTAGAGTTTCAGTCGGGGTGCTTTTCCCTGGGTCTGCATGTAGGAATAGGAAGTGTTCCCCAGCCAAACATAATATCCATTCTCATAATACATCAAGGTAAAGGAGATACAACTTCTTTACATAATACCTGCTTAAATATTCCAACTTTCATAATCCTATCAAATATTACATTTTTATGTTCTTTCAATCTAATTGTAAGAAAGGCCAGGGTTTCACCAGTGGGTTTTAGTACCACGGTTCAAGGGACCACCTATATCAAGGAGCCCTGTAAACTCTTCACCGCTTGACCATTTTACCCACTCTTACACAAAAGGCTTTGGATGCCCAGTGAGGGGTTGAGCCAAAGGCCTGTGGCCCTTTTTTCAGTCTTTAACTTCATTAATATGCCTAACCACTGCACCCGGCAATTGATGGTCACGTTTCTCATAGTCATCTACCTTCCAGCTACCTTCCAGCTTTTTAAATTTCTCTAAAGCAGGGAAGAGTGGACTTTTGGGGGCCCTTTATTGTAGGGGGACTAATAGGGGTCTCTTTGGCCTGCCCAACCTTAGGTAGTCCTGTATTAAAATCTTTGTTTTAACTCCATCAATGTCCATTTTATTCATCTTATGTCTTAAGACCATTTGAAGATTTCAAAGGAACCCATCAACAAAATGAAAAGGCAACCTACTGAATGGGAGAATTGCAAATCATATACCTGACAAGGGGTCAATGTCCAAAATATATGAAGAACTCATACAATTCAATTACAAACAAACAATCCAACATAAGGGCACTAATCCCATTCTGAATGCTCCATTCTCATGAGCTAATCATGTCCCAAAGGCCCTACCTCCTAATATCACCTTGGGTATTACATTTTCAACATATGGATTTTGAAGGACACAAACATTCAAACTATAGCAGGAGAATTAGACTCCACCTTTTGATGGGAGGAATATCAAGGTTCTGGAACAGCATGTGAGACCAGAAATATTATTGCAGCTACTTTTGTAAAATATAATATGTCTCAAACACTATGTGAAAATGTAGAAGCCTCTTATTCCCAAAGATCTTTCAGTTACACATTTAACTTTTTACATTTGATCTCCCTACTAGCTTTAAACATCTTGAGGAAACCAATACATACTGCCTGCTATGCACAAGGCACTGTTATAAGCATTGTAATGTGTATTTCTTATATTACTCAAGATGTATTTCTTATATTATTCAATTCTGCTATAAAAATGGAAAGACACTAAGTATGAGAGCAGATAGCTTATAAGACATAAGGATAGTCATAAGATGGGTTAAATATAAATTATAAGTTACTACTTGTGAGGCACGTCAAAGATAGAATGGAAAACATCCATGTTGAACAGATAAAAATAATGGAACAAATGAGAGTATCACAGATAGAAAAGGCTGGAAGGACCAAGTAAACCTTAAATATATATAAGGTAAGGATCATGTCACTACCAGACTGACAAGTATATTATTCCTAAATAAGCCACCAATTGGTGACATCCATTCTGGTCCCACATGTGCTCTTCCCAAGAAAAACAGGTTAAACTCACAGTTGCTCAGCAGGCTAATTTATGACAAGGGACAGCTATGACCAGGCCTGTATCTCTCCAAAAGAACAAATGTATGTTGGCTCCACCGCTTGCTCATCCTCAACTCTAGTCTTCATAACTACCCCACCAGTCAGGAAGGCTGATGTAGCAAACACAGGTTATATGAACACTGAGTAACATTAAGATTTGGATAATGTGGTCCTTCTACTCCCTCCTCTCCCCACGCTCTATCTTAAATGTGTTAGCCACCCCATCTCTTTCTCCTTGATGGATGTTTTAAATTAATTTAATAAACCATGAAATTCGAGCGGCTCAGTTTTATCTGAGCCTTTCTGTTCCATGACCTCTAGGGTGGCCTGAATAGTACTGTACTTGGAAGCTACTGTTGTAATTTCCTACTCCAATATGTGCTTTACAAGTAATATATTATCAAATTTACGCAACAATCTAATGAGGAAGCAATTGTTATTTTTATCCTACAGATGAAGAAACATAGTCTCAGAGCAGCTAAGTAACTCGTCCAAGGTAGCACATCTAATAAACAGGGGAGCTAGCATTCATGCTCATGATGACATGGCTCCACGTTCTTTTTCACTAAGTTCATTCATTTTTATATCTTTGCCAATATGACACCTGACATATAGTAGACATATTGTTCAATGACTTTAATTAAATGATGGAATCTTGGTTCTTAGTTTGCCATGTAGCCTAGGAAAAAGTATCTAACTTCTTTAAGACTCAGCTTCCTCATAGAATTTAACTTATTATTAAAAAATTTTACTCCACACTTGACCCCTAGGAGTTGCCTAAGAAAGGATAACTCACCCCCCACTCAGGGCAGGTTTTAGAAAGAGCTTTCGGTCATTTTTAAAGCTGAATTTTCCGTTTTATTTACCACACTTTACAGAGCCATCCACAAAACAGGTGCATGTTGTTCAAGGTTCAGTATTTCAGTTTTAAGCTTCTTAAACAAATCTTTCACCTCATTTTTGTTAGGCTAAACTATTTGTTTTTCTTTCTGTTGTAGTTATTTTTAGGTAGTTCCCCTGAGACAGGTATTAGTAATTCAATCAAATTATTCTGATCATCAGTATCCACTGCCTACTGCCATTACAGGGGAGGATTTCCTCTCCACTTTAACTTTTGGCCTTGATAAGAGCATTTAGCTGGGAGACTGTGCAGTCGACTACTTTCTAGCTGGATAACCTTCGTGGGCTTCTTCATCTGTAACAAGAAGGTCATTGCGATCGCTACCCCACAGAAATGTTCTGATAAACTTTAAATGACAGTTCACGTGAAGTGCGTAGGATGGCGCCTGACACTTTGTAAGAGCTCAATAAATATGCCTAAAACGCTTAGTTTGTTGAAACCATTTCACAGAGCTTTCAAAGTATTTTCCAGAATTGAGTTACTTCTCCCCTTGTCCTCACTTCTAAACCTCATCCACCCCATGCACCCGCACCCTTTCCCCTCAACCACTTCCTTTCCGGCGCTTGAATTCAAAACAAGGCAGCTTTTCCTCCTTAGTAATTTGTTAAATGGTGCGGCTTTTCTCTGTCAACGAGAGCGTGGCTTTTCCCTACCACCACTTCGCCCGATGGAGCTTTCTCCTTTATCTCCTTCTGTGCGTAGTCCTAGCGCCACCTGGCAGTGTCTCGGGACAGGCCGGGTTAGTGCGACATACCGTGTTTCTGAGGCACGGGGAGAGCTGCTGGGGAATCGCGACCTGGAGAGATGACCTGGCTTGGCCGGCACATCCCGTACGAAGGGAGCAAGCCCGAGCCGCTGACGCCGGCGGGGCCGAACGCCGCGGGCGGCGCATCTCAGGCGGCAGGCA